ACCGGAGGAGAGACATTTTTCAGAGTAAAACAGGAAGTGCTCCAGCCCTTTCAGACGCAGCTTCCGGTTGTCGCGAAAAAGGTCTATACTGGCAAACACTCTTGCATCGAGGTAGTGACAGCCCGCTGCTCAAATACTCCTCTGGTGATAACCCAACGAGCTGCAGGTGTGCGAGGAGGCTCAAACGAGGACAGGGCACCACCTAGTGGTGGAAAAAGAAAACACAAATACAACCCACACAAACTGGATTCTTAACAGTAGCAACTTTGGAGAGAAAAACTGTCTTTTAACATCCACCCATCCATCCATGAACACTATCTGTTGCTTTATAGACTTTTACTTTTAGAATCATGGAACTTTTATTTCTTTGAATTCAGTTGTTTCTTATTGGGTTATTTTTCCCACCTATGAATTAGACATTGCTAGATTTTAATAGTCCTTTCAAACCTTGTAGGATTATTTGGTCGATTCAGACACCTGAGATTTTTTTTGAACGCTTTATTGTGTTATGCCTAATTCAGCTGTGCCACATGTGTGTCGGCACCTCCTCCTTGAATGGGCTCCTTTGATACTGAGAAAAATAAACTGTTTGTCATACTGGAATCGCTCACGAGTGGGTGACATGCTAATTATTGGTTTAAAGCAGCCTGTGAATGGGTGTACGCTCAAGCACAAGGATGATGGAAGGATGAGTTATCTGTGCCAGACAGGAGGAGGGTAAGGGGCTGAGGATGGGGAAAAACGGAGGAAGGGGGATATCACTAAGCTCCATTTGAAATTGGGATTATCCCCGTCGGATTCCCTTCGCCTTCTCTCTTTCTGGCGTTCCTGGGAGGCTTCAGAGCCTTGGTAGATTGAAAAAAGAGAGCGCTGCATCGAGGAGATAATTGCCAAAGTGCTGCTGGTGTGAAGTGTGAGCCGCTAACCAGTCGAAGACCCCCACTCCATGCCCAGTTTCTCCCCCAACCCCCACCTGTGACAACAGAGGAGAACATTTTTGTCACTTTACATCCATTAAAGTCCTGTGTGATCAGACAGACACCAAACCTCTGTTGGGGGGGTTATTAACTTAAAGAGATGTATTTATAAATTTGGGAGGCACTATAACTCAATGAGCAATTATAGAGCTTAACAATGTAAATAAAGGATCACTGACAGCAAATTTAGGTTATGAATTAATATTACTCAACAGCCCTTTGCAAACCACCAGCTTAGCATCATAACAAAAGACAAGAACAGATATAAAAAGATATTTTAAAGGTTTCAAGAATTGATGAATTTTGTATCTATTGGTGTGTAAATCTGACAGAGCTATACAATCAGTATTGGGGAGTAACTTTACTATTTTTATTAATAAATTGTGAGTAAAAGCTGTTTGCTAACTTTACCATTATTAGCAAGCTATTACTTAGCATAGCAGCCTGACTGGGTTTTGGCCAAAGTATTGTTGGTGCTGCTTAGACTCAAAAAGGAAAATTATTCCGATAGCTAGCATCCCATCAAGCTAGGAAGATGATGCTCCTTTTAGTGTAGTTAGAAGCTAATCTTTATCTTCTGCCTTCCAGTCAAGCTAGGAAGCAGATGCTAGCTGTAGTGTAGTTAGCGGCTAATGTTTAGCCCTTTAGCTTCCTATTCATTTAGGTAGTGGATGCAAGCTTTAGTGTGGTAAGTGCCATATGTTTATCCTTCTAACATGCTATCAAGCTAGGAAGCTGGTACTTGCTTTAATTCAATTAAATAATTTTATTGATATAGCGCCAATTATCGACACGTCAACTCAAGGCACTTTACAGAGACAATTCAACCAGACAGTACAGTCAGATTAATTCAAAGTTTTCTATCTAAGAAAAACCAGGTGATTGCATTGACTTATTAACACGAACACAATCTCGCACATTAAGCATGCTTATAGCGACAGTGGAGAGGAAAAACTCCCTTTTAACAGGAAGAAACCTCCAGCAGAACCAGGCTCAGTGTGAGCTTCCAAGTGCCGAGGCCGACCGCGGTTCAAGGA